ACCAAAAATGTTAACCTGCTCCAAAAACATTAACCTGGTCATTCCTTTGCTGAAATTGCAGCATCTGAAACTTTGACTGGTACAATGAAACACTCTAGAACCATCTTAAATGCATGTCTAATCAATATAGGACATAGAAGTACTTAAAAAGAAAACTCCTCCAAAAAACTTAACCTTAACCTGGGACGCTGACGCCGACGCCGAGGGTATTACATAAGCTCCCCCAACTTCGTTGAGGTGAGCTAATAACAGATCTTTCTCCTGGATAGAGTAGAATAGAATAAAATAGATTTTATTACCAAATCAGGACCCATTGGGCATAAACATATAGTATTTTTTTAAGTCTGTGTTTGCTTTTAAATAGGCAAATATTTTCAGTTTTTGTGAGATTTTTGTAAATTATAGAGATTTTACATTAAGAATACTTTAATATTAGATGAAATATGAAATAAAATTTGGATATAATTGAGATTAAATATTTTCAATTCTTATCTGTCGCGCTATTCCCTCTGCCCGCCTTATACGCCCATCTTCTTTCTGTTGAAGACCATTTGAAGACTTTGACAATAAAACTATATCATCTGCATACATTAGTATGGTTGCATATTTATGCCATCCACATATTTTTTTGTCAATATAGAATATCATGTCAAGTCAAGATAACTGTCTCGTCAAGTCATGATAACTTTCAGGTTTGTCGTCAAACACAGATTTTTATCTTGTTCCGTCAAGATAAGCTATCGTATTTTTGCGAAAGCTATCTCGACAAAAAGAGATAATTTATCTTGTATCGAGACTAAAGTTATCTCGTCATGTCAAGATAGCTATTGCAACAAAAAAAGATAGCTTATCTTGACTGGACAAGATATAAAGTCGGTGTTTGTCGACAAACCAGAAATTTATCATTACTTGACAAGATAGTTATCTTGACTTGACATGATATGATGACAAAAAAATATGTGAATGGCATAAGTATGCCACCATACATTAGACAGTGAAGTAATTTGTCATGTAACTGAATATTATCATTAGTTATATTATTGGAGTAGTCTGGAAGATTATTGATAAAAATTTTGAATAAATTTGGACTTAGATTGTCTCCCTGTTTACTCCTAGCTTAGTGGGGAAAATCTCAGTGACTTGATTGTTTAACTTAATGCATGATCTACTACAATTGTACATACTCTTAATTTTATTATAAAATTTAGATCCAAGACCAATTTCTAGCAGTTTTTAATTTTGATGCCTTCATGTATTACTGTGTCAAATGCTTTTCTAAAGTCAATGAAACACGCATAGAGCCGTCCTTCTTTCTGAGAGCAATATGTTTCAAATAAAGTTCTTAAAATAAACATGTGATCAGATGTTCTTGCCTTTTTACAAGAACCAATTTGACAATCATTGATAATTTTGTTTTTTTTTCTAGATATTTATCGTCTTTTAGTCAAAATACTGTTCAACAATTTTCCAATTGCACTAGTGATGGTAATGCCACGATAATTGTTTGGGTTACTGATATCCCCTGTCTTGTGCAGAACAGTTATATATATCCCTCAGCCCATGATTTAGGATAAAGTCCATGTGATAAGTAAGCATTGAAGATATTTCTTAAAGATGGTAGTAGAGCATTGTGACCGTATTTAATCATATGATTCAAAATGTTGTCTAGTCAGGAGATTTATCATATTTAATACAAGATTCCAGTAAAGTTTGGGGTTATCCAAAACTTTTGCTTTGATTAAAGCATCAAGCCTTGCAATTAAGGACTGCTGATATTGTATTTGTTTGTGTTTACATAACTTAGCATACTGTTTAAATCTGCCTCTAATAATTGGATCTTTTGGAAATTGCCACATAATTCTAGCAATATTAATTGATCTATTTTTTATGTGTTTTAAGTCTCCATCAAATCACTTCTTATTTTCGCTTATCAATATATATAAAGTGCTGCTTTATTTTTCTTTTTAAATTGTTTTAAGATTTCAGCATTAATAATGATAGTCTTTTGTTCAATTGATTTTATTGCTTTAAGTTTTATCGAGAGGATTTTCAAATTGATAAAAGACGCTAATAATCATATCATATAAATTGTTGATATGAAACTCATAAAGATATATAAAAATTTTCATTTAAATTTTTGTGTATACTTCACAGTTTTTTAAATTTTTTTTGGCGGGGGCGGGAATGCCTTTCACTTCATAATTCAATCTCATGTATGTTTTCACTGATTTAAAGGATGAATTTACAAAATATTAAGGTTTTCCCTATTTTGCCAGTTGGCTATTGCAAGGATACAACTTTTGTAGGTTTGTTTTCACCAGGAAAGTATTTTATGACTATTTTAATATATGCAACGTAACACTGCACAGTTGTACATGTTGAAAAATATTTTTGAAATACATGTACCAGAAATATGAAATACATTTTATACAGTGAATTAGAAAAGCCATTCCTTGTTGAAAAACGTTGTAATGTGAATGCTATTTCAGAGATGGATACTTTCAATGCGTTAACAAAGTACACATGTTTATGGTTGAGTTTTACTTTCACTCTTTGTTCATCAAAGGGCACCTCTGTTACAACGCGAAATGTAATAACAACGCGAAATGTAATAAACCTGTGACTTTTTACATAGTGTTGCGCTTCATTACATTTACAATTCCCATTGAACTCAAGAGATATAAGCAGTGAACTGTAATATACGCAAAAAGTAACAACACACATTAATTTAACTGTTGCTGTCTCTCCATCTCCATTTTCAAAATATTTTTCATTTTGTTTCAGCCAAATACGTTATACATAAGCTTCCCAAGTGAAGTGAAGATTAATTGTAATTCCCGCTCCAGCAAAATTAATTCGTAACAAAAATATATATTTTTGGATAATTACATATTGCGACAAAACTATATTGACATGAATAAATATTTTGTTTAGATCGATATTTGAAAAAGGCAATAAACGCAATAAAAGTAATAACACACTTCTTTATGTACTTGCACCCAATACAAGTCAAAATTTTCATAAATAAGGAGTATAACACTTTTTATGTTGATAAGTCGATAAAATATAAGACAACATACCAAGTTAAAACAAAAGGTATATGCAATTTTTTTAAATTTTTTAATTAATTTATTTTATAATATATTCATTTAATTAGCTACATGTATTCAAAATCAGTTTAATAAATGTTTTCAAATTATAGAGTGTCGCAAATTAGAAACGTGTTTTCCATGTTGGTTACATGTATATATTTGAATCAATTTAAAAACTTTTTTTAAAGTCAATTAAAAAACATTAAGTTATATTTTGTTTTATTACATATTATTTTATTACATTTTGCACTGATTTAATTCTTTTACAAAATAAAGGTTTTCCCTATTTTGCCAGTTGACAAGGATAAGAAGTATAGATTGTAGGTTTGTTTTCACCAGGAAAGTATTTTATGTAAATATATGCAAAATGTAATAATCTAAAAATATTTTTATTACATTATGCGTTATTACATTTTATACAGTGAATTAGAAAAGCCATTCCTTGTTGAAAAACGTTGTAATGTAATCCATTTATTACATTTCGTGTTGTTATTACATTTCGCGTTGTAACACACCTCACCATTATTTTATGTTCTTCGTACATCAGTTGTATCACAAGGATTTTCATTTGCTATAATTACTAGTTCAGCACCGCTTTGGTATACATATATGCAAGTTTTACAGCAATGTGAAAGCAATTATGGTAAAACACACTTTTTATTGAAGAAACGAGTTTGAATCCTTCGTTTTCCATTTTACATTATTTTTGGTTGCCTGGTGACAGAGAGTCAAGAACTATACAAGTTTCGACCTGGGTATCTGATCAAACAAGCAGGAAGCTGGAGCATTCTTGGATGTTATGCCAGCTTACTGCAAAAGCCATGTGAAATCGCTAGATGGGAGAACGGATTCAAACCCAGGACCTCCATACCGCTGTGAAATCTATAGTAGAGTCAAAGGGTACCTCCAATCAACGGTGTAATTAATCCTTTGATTATTTATGATCAGAGACAACAATTCTGCATTGTTTGTAATTTATATTTTAAGTAATATACTCTATATAATTAGAAGAATATACCATATGGTTATATATAAAATACAATATAATGTATATATAATCATACATATAAACAAATGAGCAAATATATAACAAGAATCACGATACGATCACTTTCTTCCATCACCGCTATTTATAACTGAGGTATCACAGCCGGATTTCAAGGAGGAAACGTTTACACAGATGCATCCTGGTACTGAAGAACTTCCGCACGGCTAATCTTGAAGGAAAAGTTCATGATTTGAGTGAAATTCCCAAATTTTCCAAATACATTAGTGACATTAGTGTAGAAATTTAACTAAAGTCCCATTTAATTTTCTGAAGAAATGTACTACAATAAAATTCATATGTAGTTTAAAGGCAAAGGACATGGAGATTATGTGTCATACTATAATGCAATCAAGGAATTAATTAAATCTTGTTAGTTTTACACCATTCAGAATATACAATTCAGCCACTTCATTACATGGTTTAAAGAATTAAATCCTTGTTCTAAATCATTTGAAACATTTCTATACTTTGTGTTTGCGTGTAAACACGTGGATTATATTCTTGCTTTAACCGTCCCTTTCCTGTCTTGAAAATAATTTCATTTATACACGCATCTTTGGCACATAGCATCAATGGACATTACAAAAATATACATTAAATATGGACATCAAAAGAATATTCATAATGTATAATATTAATTCAAGTATCAAATGTATTGGAGATAGACAATATTTTAAAGATGTATTTTTAAGAGACAGTCTTCTTTGTTGTCCATCCTAATAACGTATTGCATGTACCATATATGGAATTGCACATCCTGGAAAATGTTTATAATAAACCATTATATATATATATATATATATATATATATATATATATATATATATATATATATATATATATATATATATATATATATATATATATTCAGATGTATTTTTTTCTCGTCATGAATCAAAGCACCAAAGTTGGGATGCGGAACCCACTTTTCACACTTCTGTAGTGCCGATATAATACAAGGATATTCACTGACTTGCACAATTTTCTTTACAGTATAAAAGGTACGTTCTTTTTGCTGCTGGGTTTGCTTCTGTCCCTGAAATACGACACAATGGGGTTCTTGATTCCGATTGTTTCCAGGTCAGCGTCTTTAAGGGATGAGAATTTTTTGCCAGTGAGTCCCTTTCTCTGTAAATGATTTACAATTCTGTCCTCGACCCCCAGATGTCGGAAGAAGGTCACCATGTCTTCTGTGTTGAATGACGATAGGTTTCCGTCTTTGGGTATCGTTATTTCATTTTCTGGGATGAATTTTGTAACTGCTGTTAAAAAAAAGAATTTTTTCAAATCAAAATCTGCGTAATCTTGAGATAAGCATAATTATATATACATGCATTTGTTTTTGATATAGGTGTATTTCTTCATAAGAAACGGGTATTTCATAGTCGGAAAGGTTAGTTCTTCATCACTGAAATTTGACATGTGCAAGGGTGTACCGATATTTACTCTTGGTTGTGGTTGGTTGGGATTGCGCCTTTGGATCAATTTTGCCAAATGTAAATATTACATAACCAAATCGCTTTGTCTGTACAAAGATCCAGATAATCGATGTTGAAATTAATTTCAAATACTATATACATGTTTATCTGTATGTTTCAAAGAAATCTAATAAAAGATTTCAATGTTAAGATGTTTCAAAACTATGACCATCTTGCCAATCTTAGGATATAACATTAGATAAAATCTTCTATTTTTTCTTGTGAAAAAATTTTTTTTTAAAAGAAATACAAAGACTTTTTATTGCAGAGAGACTTGTGTGAGCACACAGATCATCGCAAACAAAGGGAGCGGATCAAAACCTTGTGACATGCAATTTAACTGAGACTTACTGTTGCTAGGTGGTCTACTTGTTCGTATTCTGGGTGGTAGTTTGTCTGTCCGAGGGGGATCCTTTGGAAGTGGAGGAGGGTGTTCTATTTTTGGAACTGGAGGCAGATCTCTACTGCATAAAAAAAGGAAAATCCATATACACACCTTATTTGAAAAAAAGCAGAGGCCTAAACTGTGCTTCTTTTACACTCAGTGCCAAATATAAGAGAGTATTATCAGCTAATTGTCTGGTTGTTAAAGGTGTATAAACACCATTTTCTTTCCCTCTTTCAAAATTAACTCCTATCAATCATTTATGTAAATTGTAGGATAGAGTATGTCAAAAACCACGGAATTCACATAAGGTGTTGAAGCTATTTGTAAACAAATACCCTACGGCTATATGTCTATTTGTCTCTTCTCTTGAATTTTTACACTTCAACTTTTTGAATAACGCCTTCAAAATTACTATCCCTGTAGATTATTTGTTCATCCACAGGTTATTTTGACAATAACAAGACAAAAACCAAAGAGAAACAAAAAATAAATCGCGGTATGCGTAAGTTAAATGACATTCCTTAATTACATCGTAGCGTATAATGAGCGAGGGAGGCATTATTGTGGTAAATGAACGACTATCTATTGCACCTATCTATTTGTTACACAATAAAGACAAACAGTACGACTTGACAATCTTCATTTATATATTTATCTTTTAATTAGTAATCAATGGTGTTCAAATTGTGTGTGGGCACCATTTTGGGATTTCCTCTACGCCTTCAATAAACAGCAAAAAATAAAATGAAACCCTGTCAGCATGTTGTTTTTTTTTTTATAATATACAATTTCATTTGAATAAGCTTGCATATAAAGTTTGCATATCATTATTTGATGCTGCGTTCTCTTTCGTAACTTCAAGGTCCTATACATGTATACTATGGTTCAACTCTAGCTCTGGGACAATGACATGAACACAAAACATAACAGAAAAACCAAATTTTAATATCGGTAATTCTCTATGATTGTAATAATGAAGTCAACAGTTTTGTTACACGATACCAAATTAATCTTACCCTTTTTAATGCATTAAAAGGGTAATTGTTCGGTATAATTTGATTTATTTTAAAGTAGCTTTATGACTTAAAAGTAATCAAGTGGTGTCTGGAAGAGAATTTTTTGGCAATGAAAGCGTGAGAATTATTTAACAATAGTAGAGAAATTAGTCAAATTTACATAGTATCTTTGAAAAAAAAGGAAATTTCGGGTTCCTTCAGACCTAAAATTGGAATGAGTTTATTTTCACGTTGAAAATCTTTAGCTTAAAACATTTTTAGCCGTTTACAAGAGACTGGACAAGATAATGAAGATGGCGCTGTAAGGGAACCTTTACAGCTATTGTAATTCACTGTACAAAATGTATTTTATTTTAAAACTTATTCCGCTGATTCTTGTATTTTTGGTGAAGGAAAGACGAAGAAAAGAAATAGCTTTATTTTGCGCTTTTTGGGTGAAAGAAAAAAGTTGAAGAAAAGATATAGCTTTATAATCGGTTCCTATCGTCTGTTGGCGGGTTTCGATGGCATTGATTACGTCAAGGTGACAGACAAGTTGTTTCCGAAATAAAACAGGGGTAGAATAAGGTGTTATTGTACACCTTAACCCCCGTATATCCGTGTCTCATTCTGGTACAGACGACACTCAATCCGCTCTTTGTCGGGGTTAACGCAGTGAACAAGTGCGTTTTTTTACAAACAAGAAACATTTAAAGTAGAGAGCCAAGTACAAATATTGTCCTTTTTCTTTTGTACACACCATCTGCATACCCCGTCCTGACAAATTTGCATGTGTATTGAAAACTATAAATAATCCATTAGTGGTCTAGAGAGATAGAACCCGTCTAGCTGGATTCCGATCGAGTCTAACACAGCTTCACTGATTTTGAACGATTTGAATTACCAGATAGGAAGTTGTGGGATAAAAGATTTTATATACCATAAAAGTTTAAATTTCTAAAACACAAAACGATAAAATAAAGCTGTAATCGCAAACATAATCAGATGGGAAAAAAATCAATTTATCGATGACATGTTTTAATTTTTTGTTTGTTTGACTTTATGTACGTTTAAAATCAGTAAATTAAAACTATATGTTTTGTAAATACCAAAATTACTTTTTTTGTCCCTGAAAAACAAAGTACCACTGCACGTGCGCGGGTGTGGTAACTCACCTGGTGAGGTTTCGTGTTGATGATGTGGTGGAGCTCTCGCTCTGTTTGTCTGTCTCCGTATCCGAGTGTCCGTTGGTCATCGCCCCGTTAATGTGTCCGTTCATATGGGGTCCACTACTGTCAAACTCTGCCATTTTACTCCAATTACCGGTCTTTATATATACATATGACTGCCGTGTTATTGTGTGTGACGAAACTTCGTTCAACCTGAATTCATGCCCAAGCATGCGTGAAAGCAGTCAGTCAGGCCTGAAAAACCATTCAAGAAATGAGGTCAGTTTTTAATAAGTGTAGGCTTCTTTTGTGTTTGGATTTACTTGAGGGCCTTGTCATGATATGTGTTATGACACACTAATTTGCGAAGGCGGGTATTGACTTAGTCATTGGAGAGCAGAGACAAACTGGGAAAGCTTTAAAATAAAAACAATGAAGTTCAGCGAGTAAAACAGACTTCAAACCACAAAAAGTTATCAATAAGACCTAAGTTTTTAGTTACTCATGTGCTTAATTATAACATGAAACATTACATAGGATTCTGTTCTTCAGTCTGAGAAGCAGAGTACACAATGTGTAATTTTGGAAGTTTTGCCAGAAACAGATCAGTCACAGAAATTATTTTTCTTTTTGGTCACTTCAGACACATCCAAAGAGAAGATAGGGCAACATGGTTTCTTGCTGTACACTTTGCTCTAGAACGTCTTGTCAAAGGAAGATGCCTAGCTCTATAGAACAGGAAGTTTGGACAGAGTTTGGTACTACAGTGTAGTATGTCTGTCCGAATTTTCTGTATCAAAGGGGCTCAAAGGAAATGACCTTCTGCAATGAATCAGTTGGTTAAGGTTTGAAAGCTGAATTCTTGAAAAAGTATGTGACTTTGTTCCTCTTTCATAGATTTTCAGTTGTATTTCGTGAAATTATATCAACACCAAAGAAATTACAATTTGTACTAGTTTCAAAATTGCGTGTAAGTTTATCTTTAAAAGTTTAATTTAATGTTAATATTTAAAGAAATTGTTGAATAATCGTTTTTTAAATCCCACGATGTTCTAAAATATTGAATAAATATCTTGTTTTAAAAATTCACATTCAGTCTTTGTGTTTACAGAGAACAGAGGATTGGTTTCACAAAGAAATGCGTACAAAGGCTGACCGAAATCCGTAAAAAAAGGTATTATATGACCTAAAGTACTTTGTTCTACAGTGCGTATTCTTTGAAAAACTCTTACACCCTTTTATGCAGTTTTCTACTTTTGAGGGAAAATTGGGAATTTTCTTCACCTCATTTCAATTATTTGGTTAAAAGATAGACTTAACAAATAAACAAACGATTTATGAACAATAGACAAAGTATCTAAGTATCTGTTTCTTTAGCTTTCAACATTTTTGTCTTTGTTCACCACAAAAACTTGTTTTCACTTCCATAGAATAAATGGGGAAGAGTTTTAAGATTACGAGGATTATAGGACCAACATATGAGAAAACAACCCCCGGGTATTCAAAACGCTCAACATGTTACAAACAGAACATAACTGACAATGTGATATGCAGAATTCAAAAAATTTGAAAAATTACGATACGATACACCTAAAGATTAAAAAAAAAATGCTAATGTCACTTTGTACAATTGCTTCCAACGAATAAAATGTTTCTTGAATTTTAAAACATCGTATTACATGCATTTAGTTTATTTTAATCTTTTTTCTCAATAATCTTCCAGTCTTTTACCTTCAGTTGATCGCTTGAAGAAAGGTGCGTTATCTCCCATCAAAAGAAGACAAAAAAATCTACACACAGACATCATCATGTAAACCTGCCTTTTATTTGAAAGGCTGAGCAAAGGAACGTTATCTGTTTTGAACTGACAAGAAATAAAACTGTTATAGAAGAAGCATTTTATTTCAAAGGCAACACGAAAGAGTGTTATCTGATTTTCAGATGATGTTATGAGAAAAGATTTTACTGACAAGTTTTCCTATTGTTGACTTTGTGATTAGATTTTTATGTATTTACCGGTAATATCTATTAAAGAACATTCCCACAGAAATTATTCTGGGTGAAAGAAAGTCGAATAATATATGGACAAATGTATGAATATAAATGGTTATTTATGAACACATGCACATTAAGTAGTAGACAGGATACCGGTATACTGAGTATTCAATGACCTTAAAAGTAAACTGCAATATTAAACAAGGTATAAATAACATTCAAACTGCAGATATATAACCAAAATAAATAATATACAATTCAAATGTACTGATATATAAACTAGAGGTACAAGGAGCATTGAGCTCACAAAATAATACCCAAATAAAAAAAATATATATTTTTCACATGAAGTATAAATACAACAGATTTTGAAAGGACACTCTTATAAATATATACTTAAAGCTCAATTCGAAACTTTCTGTTCACCTCTCTCAAAACACTGATTTTTGTCACTGTAAAGCAGAAAATCACCCTTCGGCAAAATTGAATTGTTAATGAACGATATATTATGATTATTAATGTAAATATCTGTAATAATATCAGGCACTATGAAAGTATCACATTGATTTTCCCTAATCACTTCCACTTCAGTAAATGGCATTATTCCTATAACATGAAACCGATTCGATCTCTGCTCGATCTGTCCCTGAAATGAAGCAGAATTGGATTTTTGATTTGTAAGTCTTCCAGTGTTTTGTCCTTGAGTTTCCCGAACTTCCTGCCGTCCATTTCCTTTCGATGAAGTCTCTGAACTATTTCTTCATTCACTCTCATGTACCTGAAAAATGTAGCCATTTCGTCCACACTGAAACTCTGCAGGTTGCCGTCCTTCGGAATAACTAATGGGGGAAGATCTGCTGTAAATGACAGAAACTCATCTTAATTCCATATATATTCTACGAAGTTTGAGACAAACAGTTGATAAAATAAACAGTAGAAGCTTCATTTTGAAATTGAAGTACTTTTGCCTTTCATCATTTAATCTATTACGTCATTATAATGACACCGTGGTCAGGCTGTAGACCTACCTAGTGCTGCTGCCCTTGATGGGATCTTTGGTGCTGAGCTTTGAACCCTGTAATTGATAATTTATACATGCAAGACTTCATGAAGTATAGTATTGACAGATAAAACTGACGACAAAGATGCTATTAAATTAAAGGTACAAAACATGAGTTTCTTCTTGTTCTATTTTTAATTAATTTAAAATGTATGAAAATGTCGTTGACATCTTCGTTGTTTGAACACATGTTTAATTTATTGTATAGACTTTTCATATTAATGTTTGATATGATCTTAAATCTCTGTTATTTTTTGATAAGAATGAGCAATACCCGATCTTTCATGGAAACCAAAAGTCAAAGAAATAAAGTTCATTAGCATATCATCTTCTTAAATAATTTTGATTAAACCCGGTACTTACACTCCGAGATTGTCGTATGTCTGAGTCCCATTTTGAAGATTGAGAACTTCGTAACTCCGGGTTTTATTTCTTATCCTAGAAGCTGCTGAGCTGGTAGGAGAAGCCCGGATCTTCTGTAAATGTTTCAGTCTTTCTGCCTCATCCTTAAAGAGAGGCGAACTTTGTTCTCCAGAAGAAGTACTTTCTGTTGTGTCTTTTTCGTCATCCACTTTGTATTTATTCATACGCTCCGTGAGACTATTGCCATTCTGGAATCCATTTGTGACCGGTTCCTGGTTTTGCGATGTCGCCATTATCTCATACTCAACAACTTGACCACCAAAAACAATTGCATTTAACACAAACAGATCACAGATATCCAACCACGACTACATTCAAAATCTTCCATGAATTAATAGGGCATATACCTGAAATTGTTGATGCATTTGCGCAGTGTTTCACAAAGAAAAAGTCAATAATGACCCATATTTTCCTCTTATACCGGTATAAACATGTCCCAAAGATAAACGTATTTAAATCCGTCTTTTCCACGCATAATTCTCCGTTGTATGGAGTTTTAAACAGTCTATAAATTCCTATTCATAGTGTATGTAAGAGTTCCACAATTTCTCCTACGCGTACATCTTTCTTTTGTCTAATTTTTCAAAAGCCTTTAAAAAGAGGTCGGACTCTACCTCTACAATTTAACATTGGGCAAAAGGGACACGACTGACTGCCCAGATATATCATTCTTATCTCATTCATTTAATGAATGGGTCTGATGTAAAAATAAACACTTATTCCAATCTCAGTGATCTATGTCGAACTGACAACAGGACGGTGTCACATAGCCCCCGTATTGTCGTGTCCAATGAATTCCTACTGATCTGAAATCAATGGGGATGATATTCGATATCAACAAGGTTATTTAAATTTTCCAATTAGCAATCAGTGCGGAATGTCTTTACAATTATCCCAATAACACAATTATTTTTACAAAGCTGGGTATTCCAAACGGTGTTGCAGTCAAGGGAATGTATAATTTGGTTTCTCAATGATTTTTTTTTTCAAATGAATTACAGACCACTTTTGCGTACAAATTATGTAAGGTAACTACCTTGAATTTGTGTAAACATAAGCAAATTAAAAAAAAAATAGTGGTCCCTTATTCGATATCTTAGTGGATAGGATGTCAAATATGAATGCCCTAATCATTTATCACTCAAAAGTAATCACCAACAGATACAGCTGAGAAATATCATATACAAGTGGTAATTTTAGCGAGATGATTTAGCGATTTGCCCTTAAAATTCAAAACTTTATTTTCAGCGAGAAGTAATTTTAGCGATTTTAAAGTGCTCACTAAAGAAGCTATTACAACTAAAACGCATTAATAACGCTTATAATGCGAAAATTAAATCCACGCTAAAAATCTGCTTAAACGGTATGAATTCCTTATCTCTCCTCATTCAAAAATTATGACCAAGTTTAAAAGCTTTTGTGACAGACGCTTTCTGTTTAAATTTTTAATAGCAAGTTGTGGGGTCTGATCGGCTAAATTCATGTTTAATAAATAAATAAGTTACTTTTTTGAATAATTCATGAATTAATTTTCACCTTCTATTTTGATTACACTTGAAAGATGATCTTTGAATTTGTTTTTGATCTTCTGTGAGGCATGCATGCACGGACACTTGTTTGAATACGGGGCACCCCTACTTATTTTTACCAAATACGTATGGGAAACAAGTGCCTCTGCATGCACGCGCACTAGTATTTAATGTAAATATTGAGTATGTGCTAACATAAAAAAAATCCCTTTTTATGCCCCCGTAAACGAAGTTTCGGGAGTGCATAGATTCTGTCGGGTCGCGTCTGTCTGTCTGTTTGTCCACAAAAACTTGAACCTTGCCCATAACTTTTGATTTAGTGGAGCTTTGACTTTCATATTTCACATGTACATTAATTGTGACAAGACATTTCTTTGGAAACCACCCAATTTGACCTTGAAGTTTGGCCCGCTTTTACATAAAAATTCCAAACTTTTAGTAGATACCAGGACTTTTATACTTCAGATATTCTTTGTGGGAAGACCTTTCATTGGATACCAACAACCTTGACGTTCTGACCTTGAAAACGGCTAGTGCTTTCATACTTCACATATGTAATCCTTGTGAGATGACCCCTCATTGGATACCAAGAAATTTGACCTTGACCTTGGAGTTGACCTACTTTTTAAAAGCAAACCTTGACCATAACATTTAAAGGGTAGGACTAGTGCTTTCATACCTTACAAATTCAATCCTTGTGATAAGACTTTTCATTTGATGTGAAGAACTTTGACCCTTTGACCTTGGAATTTGACCTACATTTAAAAAAAATTAATCTTGGCAATAACTTTTGATATGTTAGGGTTAGGGCTTCCATATATTTCATATACGTATTTTTTGTGGCAAGACCTTTCATTGGATACCAATTACCTTGACCTTTTGACCTTGACGTTGGAGCTTTCCGCACTTTAACATTGGCCATAACTTTTGAACACTAAGGGCTAGGGATCTCATACTTAACATATGTAATTCTTATCAGAAGACCCTTCATTGGATTCAAAGAACTTTGACCCGTTGACCTTGGAATTTGACCGACATTTTATAATTTTTACCCTTGAACTTAAAACTTTTGAAGGGTTAGGCTAGGGCTTCTATACTTCAAATATGTATTCTTTGTGGCAAGACCTTTCATTTGGTGCCAATTACATTGACCTTTTGAATTTGACCTTGGAGATTTCTGTACTTATGAGAAAACCTTAACCTTGGGCTACTCTCATATTTCACAATTGTATTACCAGTTAGAATACCCTACTTTGGATACCAATATATTAAGTTTGCATTTAAGAAAAGTTTAATCTTCGCCATACGGGGTCATCAGCGTTTCACAGACACATCTATATACATGTATGCACATACTCAATATTCACATTAACTTCCAGTGGAAGTGCAGTGGAGGCATGGAGCTGATTAGAAACAGTCAAAATATTGTCTTTTATGCTCCCTAACAAAAGATTCAGAGTTGTATAGTTTTTGACCTGTCCATCCATCAGTGTGCAAAAACTTCATATCTTTCAAAAAAGTGGGGCTATGGATTTCAATTTACACAGGTGTATTTCTTGTGACAAGACCTTTCTCTGGATACAACCAAATTTGACCTCTTGATCTTGAAGTTTGACCCACTTTTACAATAAAAATCCACACTTTAACCTTTATAGTTACCGGTTATCACTTTTGAACAGTTTGAGCTATAGCTTTTATACTTCACATATTTATTCATTGTGACAAGACCTTTCAGTGGGTATAAACATATCTGACCTTTTGACCTTGACCTTAAGAGTTTGAACCACTTTTATAAACTTTAACTTTGGTCATAACTTTTGAACAGTTAAAACTAGGGCTATTATATTTCACAGGTGCGTTCCTCGTGACAAGACCTTCCTTTGTGTACCAAAAATTGTGACCTTGACCTTTGAAGTTTGCATTTGAGAAACATCTGCTGCCACACAGTGGTAACAGTGTTTCACAAACACATCTTGTTTTCTGTAATAAACCATTCTCAAATTCATAGCTCAAAATATCTGTTTTCCACACGTTCTTCACAATTTTGATATTCCAGGTCCTCCTAAAACATCAAATAAACGTCAGATATTTTGAACTATGATATTCATTGAGATGAATGAGCAAACAATACAATTTTACAAAACTGAGAAAAAAATGTCCACCTTTTATTTATCAAACATATCATATCATGTCCAATATGCCTACATTTACATTCAAAGAATGAGGTAACAATAAATTACACCTTTCCCCAATCACAGTCATTAGGCAGTAATACTTTTAAAAATAAATATATAATAAATACTTTTACTTTAAGTCCATAAACTCATTTGAATTGTCAAAATTTGGTAAAGCAACATGATCTCATTTCTTCCCCATCCTCCAGTGAGAAGAATACAAAAAAGACTGAATATTTACAGTCCATTGTACATATACAACCTAGACATTTACATCATTTTTTTAGTATGTAACTGTGTCCCTCACAGCTCTATACAGATTCTATGGAGCTGAACATAACACAAACCAACTTATTTTCAGATCAATACTCCAGAAAGTCACTGAAACCAAAGAAAATAACCTCCATTATTGTTTTACAGTGATAAAATCATATCATTAAAAGATAGAGTACAAATCATAAACACTGTATATCATACCTACTTTGAATTACAGATGATTTTTTGGTTATGCATGAATTAAAAAAAAGAGCTAAAATACACAATAATTATTATACATATATTTTAGAAATGTTCAACAAATATAAAATCATGATAGTAATGCTACAGAAAATAATTTGATTTACTTAATATCTTACTTTTTGTGGCAAATAATGAGTATTTACGGTGTATAATAAATAACTTTATCTACATTGATACAATGTGTTACCAGAAAAAGAAAACATATAATGTATATCAATCACACAATGTACATCAAACATACAATGTACATCAAATTGTCTCCCTCTACCTTTACATAAAAACAAACTCTCTTTTATCGCATTAGAATTATTTTCTTTTATCCCAAGTGCTTGTCAACTGCACAGAGCAATTATCTTTGAGTTTAATATTATATATCAAATCATGCACTAAACACAGAAGAAAGATGATTATATAATTATTTTAGTAATGTACATCCCTCAGTAACAATCAAATTGTTTTGCAAAAATAATTGTTTGTAAATTTTACAGAAAATCTTTCAATCTTTTGTTCAATTCATAAAAGGATTCAATCTTTGCAACTTGACAACTATTTCATTTCATTCTTCTCTATAGATCTAAAATGTTACTTATCAAATGCAAGATCTTGCTTTCTATATTGAAATTTAAGTTTTTAATGTCATTCAACCATTTTCAACTTAGGAATTAACTGTACATATTCTGAAGGAAATAAACAACAGACACAAGACTCTGAGGGATATACAACCTAACATATATATTTCAGTGATATGACATATATGGTTAAATAAGAAAATTAAATAGTTGATCAAAGTTTCAAAAGGTTAAATCTAGATCTATCCAAGTATTAAAGCTATTGAAAATAAACATTTTTCCAAAACAGATTGAATTCTTACATAAACATATATCAAATATACTATTTATGCTTGACAAATACTTTTAAAAAAGGAAACATTTCCCTGAAATATGTGCAAACCAGTGACAGTAGAGGATTCATTTTAATTCATATAAAAAATTCAACTTAATGCACATAAATTAACAATGTGTCCCCAACCATATCTAGCTAGACTATGTATTACTATCTTACTTTCTCATCCACTGCAAGAAAGCAATCACTACATGTACCTTACACCCTCATGGAATCAAATTACTGTAAAGCACTCTGCATATATTCTAATTTAGTTACCATATAAATAGTTCTAGAAAAGATATTCATTGTAAAAAACAAAACTCTTAATCATGTGAATTTAAGCATCTCAAATATTTAGGCACTTGAGCTTAAAATCAATAATTTTGACTGTAATAAGACCACAATTTGACCAGATGTCTCTGAAGATATTGTAGCTCTACTGGTTTCACTTCTGCGGATCTAAAAGTGACTCGTGGGAGTACATGTATCTTTTTTTTCTTTTTTACATTTTACAAAAATTATATCTTACTAAAAATTCTCAATATTTTTAGACTTAAACCAATGTTTATTCAAACAAAACCAAAGCTGAATGCAGAATGCCCTATTAGAGAATCATTTAAAAAAAAAAGACAAAACACTTGCACCAGTAGAAGACATACACCTTACTGAACATTTTACCAATGCATAAGCTCTTAGTGTCTCTGACCAGTAAAAATAGACATTCTATCATTTATATGCATAGTTTCATGCAGTACAGAGCAATGGTTACAAAATACATGTTTATGACAAAAATAATTTTAGATGGCTTATATCAAGTG